TACCACTTGAGCCACAGCACCACTTCCGGCTTTTTTCTTTTTGCTTATGTGGTGCTGAGGAATCGAACCCAGGGCCTCGAGCATGCAAGGCAAGTGTTCTACCACTGAGCCACCTTCCCAGCCCTAGAGACCAAGACTTTCTTGGGTTCAAAGAAAATGCCAAAGACTGATGATAGCAGGGGGTTTGGTGCTCAGCGAAAAGTTTGGCTATTCAGATAAACAACAATGTATATGTTGTTCTTCAAGTGACTCAGTGTCCAACCTGTACAACTGTGAGTGATAAATGCAGACCTAAAAACCCTCCAATGCCAAAGGCTACAGAATGAGCTCCATAAATTCATGGGTCCTGGTATGCTGATGGGTTAAAGGAAGGAACCACTCCCAGTGAGGCAGGTGGGAGTCTGGCTGCAAGTGTTGAATGCAGCCTTACTCTCCGGCTCCTTCTTGTTCTGCTCCCGGAAATCTAGCTTTAGGTTTATTTTTTAAAATTTTTTTGGGTAGTTGTGGGGCTTGACCCTTTCCCTGAATTTTTTTTCTTTTTTTCTCAAGGCTAGTGTTCTACCACTTTGAGCCACAGCCCTACTTCCTGCTCAGGCTGGCTTTAAACCGGGATTCTCAGAGCTCAGCCTCCTGAGTAGCTAGAATTACAATGCGTGAGCCACCAGCATCTGGCTTTAGCCTTAGTTTTTTGGAGCTCAGCAATGTGGCTTCATGTGCAGGAGGGAGCTTCTTATGAAGCCGAATGGGTGGTAAAACCTACAAGTGAACAGAGGCCCCGATCCAACCCTGTGGAGTTAGCCAGGAACTCCTTAGAGATTCCCTACTGGAGGGCGGGGCAGAGAGCCACACCCCACACTCTCCCCCAAATTCAACATTTCCTTCAAGTTTTACCTTCAATGTTCAGGCATTTTTTGTGAGCTACTTATAAAATGAGCATTGGCTCGGTATAAAACGAAGTACTAACCAGCCTAAGGATTCAACTTGAGTTGTTTCTTTTCTTTCTCCTCCTAAACCTTTCTGTGGTCTCAGTGCACTGGAAACATGTGCCTGACACATTTTCCTTGGGGTTTCTCCCCCTTCCCCACCACCCCAGCCTCCCAAGGAGCTGGGATTAGAGGATTGAGCCATTGTGCCCGGTTTGTGCTCTGGACTTTAAAATGACACTACCTCCTTCCACACCACAGCTGTCTAGGGTCCAAACTGCAACACACATTTAAAGGAAGAAGATCCCCCACAATACCTTCATCGGTCCACTCTGCTTCCCCTGACCCCTGTGTTCGAGAAGTAGGGCTGGAGGCATCTGTTGGGGCAGCGGCCGTGTTGGAGGTTTGGGTCTGGTCCTCTGTCTGCCAGGGGCTCAGGGACTCGGTTTCCAGATGCGCCTCTGCTGGGCCCTCTGTTGGCTGCTCAAACTCCACGATGCTGGCGGTGATGTCCGTGTCCGGGCCTGAGGTGTGACCAGACGGGTCTCCGCTGATCTCGGTCCTGTCTCCAGAAGCAGAGGGAGCTACTCGTGCCTCTGTGTCCACATCGTAGCCGGTGGTGACCTCTGTGTTTACTTCTGGGCCGGCTGTTCCCTCTCCAGAACCTTCCTGAAAGGCCCAAGGGCTGCCACTGGCACCCAGGCCTGAGGCACTGGCCAGCCCAGCTTCTGGGAAGGCAGCGGGGGTGGACCACGGCGCTTCGCCGCTGGCCTCGGGGTTCACCGTGGCCTCAGGATAGGCAGATGACCCGCCGCTGGCTTCAGGGGTCACAGAAGTTTCTACCCCGGCCCCAGAGAAGGCTGGTGTGGCTCCACTCCACGCCGGGACCTCCCCGCTGGCCTCAGAGGCCCGTGGTGTGTGTGTCGCGGGGGGTCCCCGGCCGAGCTCCTGGGAAACGGTTGGCTCGGTGATGCCCTCCACCAACTCGGAAGCGATCCAGGTGACGTCCGGGGACCCCGAGGCGTCTCCGCTGGCGCTTGCGCGGCCTGAGGAGTCGCCACTTAGATCAGCGGCGGCGGGGCTGGAAAAGTCCCCGCTGGAATCGGGAGGGCTCGGTGGGTCGCTGCCGCTGGCTTCCCGTCCCGGCTGCAGCCTGCTGAGGTCCACAGATCCAGAATGTTCTCCGGAGTGCGCCCCGCCAAGCTCCCACATGCCCGAGGGCCCTTCTCCAGCTTCCTGGGCAGTAGGGGCCTGGGTTCTAGATTCCACCCAGGTTCTGTCCACTAGGGAGACGGTGGGGAGGCCGGACGCCAGCCCACTCCCGGCCTCGGCCCCCCAAGAGTCGCCGCTGACCTCAGCCACACCGCTCGGGAGGCCACTGAATTCCGGAGCCCGTGATGGAAGCCCACTGGAGTCGAATGTTCCAGAAGAATGTCCACTGCCATCCAGCCCCCCAGAGGGGAGGCCGCTGAGCTCCACAGACCCCAAGCCTTCTTCCTCTTTAGACGGAGTGGGGGTTACCTCCACCAAACTGGTGTCCACGAGCACAATGCCAGAAGATTCACCGCTGCCGCTCACGGCCCCAGAGGCGAGCTCAGGGACTCGGGGGGTGGCTTCCCCGAATCCCGCCACCCCCGAGGACTGCCCACTGAGATCGAGAGCCCCGGAGAATTCTCCACTCGGGTCCGTTCTGTCAACTGGCTGACCACTACCAGAAAGAACTCCAGAAGCTTCTCCGCTCACGTCTGGTTGTCCAGAGGAGAGGCCACTGGACTCCATCACTCCAGACGCTTCCCCGCTGCCGTAAGGAAATCCTGATAGCTGCCCACTGACCTCGGAAGTTCCAGACGCTTCTCCGCTCAGGTCAGGAAACTCAGATGACTGTCCACTAGTGCCGAAGAGTCCAGATGCTTCCCCGCTGAGGTCAGGAGAGCCGGACGCATGGCCACTGAGCTCGGCTCCTGAAGCAAGTCCACTGGTGTCCAGCTCACCGACGGGCAGCCCAGAGATTTCCCCGGCACCACTGATGCTGACAATGCCCCTCCCTTCCAGCTCGCTGGCCGTGGTGGCCGTGACCACTTCCACCAGCGTGGCGTCCACAAGGGAGACCGTCGGGAGTCCAGAGGGGAGGCCGCTGAAGTCAGGCAGGCCCGAGGCTGGGCCGCTCCCAAGGTCCCCTCCAGAATACTCACCACTGAATCCAGAGGGGGGGCCGCTCACTTCCGGAGCATGGCCGCTTCCTGGCGTTCCTGAAGGTAGCCAGCCCAAGTCTGGGGCCCCAGACGCAGAGCCTACCACGTCCTCTCCTCCAGAAGGCAGCCCACTGAGGTCCTCGGCTCCAGAAGTGGAAGTTTCTAGGCCCTCCCTTCCTGAAGGCAGCCTGCTGAGGTCCTCAATTCCAGACGCAGAAGTCTCCAGATCTCCTCCTGCAGTAGGAAGCACACTGAGGTCCTCTGCTCCAGACGCAGAAGTTTCTAGACCTTCTCCTCTGGTAGGAAGTCCACTGAGGTCCTCATCTCCAGAAGTAGAAGTTTCTAGACCTTCTCCACTGGTAGGAAGCACGCTGAGGTCCTCATCTCCAGAAGTAGAAGTTTCTAGACTTTCTCCTCCGGTAGGAAGTCCACTGAGGTCCTCAGCTCCAGAACTAGAAGTTTCTAGATCTCCTTCAGTAGGAAGCACACTGAGGTCCTCTGCTCCAGATGCAGAAGTTTCTAGACCTTCTCCACTGGTAGGAAGCACGCTGAGGTCCTCATCTCCAGAAGTAGAAGTTTCTAGACCTTCTCCACTGGTAGGAAGCACACTGAGGTCCTCATCTCCAGAAGTAGAAGTTTCTAGACTTTCTCCTCCGGTAGGAAGTCCACTGAGGTCCTCAGCTCCAGAACTAGAAGTTTCTAGATCTCCTTCAGTAGGAAGCACACTGAGGTCCTCTGCTCCAGATGCAGAAGTTTCTAGACCTTCTCCTCCAGTAGGAAGTCCACTGAGGTCCTCATCTCCAGAAGTAGAAGTTTCTAGACCTTCCCTTCCAGAAGAAAGTCTGCTGAGGTCCTCGGCTCCAGATGCAGAAGTTTCTAGACCTTCTCCAGTAGGAAGCACACTGAAGTCCTCTATCCCAGATGCAGAATTTTCCAGACCTTCTCCTCCAGAAGGCAGTCCACTGACATCCCATCCTCCAGAGGCAGAAGTTTCCAGACCTTCTTTTTCAGTAGGAAGCACATGGAGATCCTCTATCCCAGAAGCAGAAGTTTCTAGATTTTCTCTTCCAGAAGAAATTCCACTGAGGTCTACTCCAGAAGTGGAAGTTTCTGGACCTTCTCCTCCAGAAGGCCACCCACTGACATCCCATCCTCCAGAGGTGGAAGTTTCTAGGCCTTCTCCTCCAGAAGGCCGCCCGCTGAGGTCCCCTAGTCCGGAGGCAGAAGTTTCTAGACCTTCTTCTCCAGAAGGCCGCCCACTGAGGTCCTCTACTCCGGAGGCGGAAGTCTCTAGACCGTCTCCAGAAGGCCGCCCGCTGAGGTCCTCTGCTCCAGAGGTGGAGCCGTCCGCACCCTGGCCTGCAGAGGGCAGACTGCCAACCCCCGGCCGGCCGGCCTGCTCCACGCCGTCTTCCTCCCCGGAGCCCGCCGTGGAGGTGAGGCCGTGGAGGTCCAGGTCGCCGGAGGGCTGGCTGCTCCCGCTGCCCCCTGAGGGCTGGCCGCTGGCGTCGGGGCCTCCCCAGGCCTCTCCGCTGCCTGTGAGGTCAGGGGCCCCCGACGCCTCCCCAGAGCCCGGCGGAGGCGGCTCGGTCCCGCGGGGTGACGGTGAGGACAGCCCCTCCGGAGATTCAGAGGCAGAGGGTTCCACAGGCTCAGCGGCAGTGGCAGTCGGTCCGCCCGTGGCTCCTTCTGTGGCCCCTTCCGTGGCTCCTTCTGTGGCTCCTTCCGTGGCCCCTTCCGTGGCTCCCTCTGCTTCTGGGCCACTGGCAGTCCATGTGGCAGGGGTCCCTGGAGGCAGGGAGGGAGCAAGGTGAGCTCACAGGTGGAACTGAACTCCACGCCTGGCACATGCGACTCTCTCGACAATCACGGAGACGGTCACGGAGGCTTTGTAATGGAGTTCCTTAGGGGGAGAGAGGGCAGGAGGGAGGAGAGGGAGAGCAGGAAAGAGGCGAGGAAGGAGAGGAGGAGGAAGGAAAGGAAAGAAGGAAGGGTGTAGGGATAAAAAGGAAGGAGGGCTGGAGAGAGGGAAGGAAGAAAGGCCTGAAGAAGCAGAGGAAGGAGGGATGGAAGAAGTGAGGGAGAAGAGGGTGGGAGAGAGAGAAGGAAGTGGAAAGAGAGGAAGGAGAGGAGGAAAGGAAGAAAGGAGGAGAGAAGAAGAAGAGGAAGGCAGGAGGGAGGGGAGGAGGGGAAGGGAGGAGGGAAGGAGTGGGAGAGGAGGCAGGAAGGAGGGGAGGAGGGGGAGAGGAGGCAGGAAGGAGGGGAGGAGGGGGAGAGGAGGCAGGAAGGAGGGGAGGAGGGGGAGAGGAGGCAGGAAGGAGGGGAAAGCCGGGATCAGGAAGCCCCTGTACCGTGCTCTGGGCTTGGGACCCACCTGCTGGTGAGGTTGTGGCCACCAAGGTGTCGACTGGCTCCCATGCAGTGTGGCTTTCAGGCTCGATGGTGGAGCTGGGGGCCAGGGTCCTGTCCAGCCCTGGGGGGACGGCGGCCACGTCCGGCCTCACCTGTGTGACGATCCAGTCCTCGGGGCCGGTGGGTGGTGTGGCTGTGCCATGCTTGTCTTCTCCCGGAGAGGGTGCCACTGAGACACCTGAGGGGAGGGGAGCGCGGTTGTGAGGCTCCTGCTGTGTAGGGACCCACCCCCCAGCGGGCCTTGCGTAGGGAGCTGGGGAGTTCCCAGCTCAGCCAGGTAGCCCTGGGCCTGCATGGTTCAGAGTGGCCACCTGCACGGACGCACCATCTCCCCGGGCACTGGGGAGGCCACCGCGCCTCCCCTGCGGTCTGCCGTGCCGGCCTGGGATTACCTCAAAGGCAATGAGTTTGTGTACAATCTCACGTTAGCTGAGTGCGGTCGGCGGCTCATGGCTGCAAGCCAAGCTATTCGGAGGCAGAGATCAGGAAGGTTATCATTCGAAAGCAGCCCAGGCAAAAAAGGTTTGTGAGACCACCCTTCCCCCACCCCCACACCAGGTGTGGAGGCTCAAGTCTGCCATCCCAGCCCGAGGAAAGCACAAATAGTGGGATTGCTGTCCGGGTTGGCCCTGATCAAAACGCAAAACCCCCATCTGAAAAATAACACACAAAAAGGGCCGGGGGTGTGGTTCCAGTGGTAGCGTGTCGGCTGAGCAAGCTCAAGGCCCTGAGTTTAGGCCAAGACATTTAAAAAAAAATTCAACCCTCCCCCCCAAACCCAGCCAATCAGGGAAGCTGAAGAGGAAACAAACTTCTGTGTGGCTAGTACCAGGCTGAGGGCACTGAAGGGTGGGTGCTGAGGGGCTGATGGCCAGGAATTTACCTGGCCTGGTTTCTGCAGCTCATGCCAGGGAACCGGGCCTGGAATGAAGGCCTCACCACCTCCCAGGGGAAGGGAGCCTGAACTGGGAATGGGGTTTGAACGGTGATCCTGGAGATCTGGGGAAAACTTGGGAGGGTGGGGGAGATGACTTTCTGTTTTGTATTTTATCCCTCCCCCTCCCTTCATTGTATTTGGAAATTTAATTTGCAAAATAATTTGCAAAGGTACTTGGAAGACTGGAAAGCGGGTCCGAGCTGTTCTGCAGTTGACACTTGGGTCAGCACATCCTGTCCTGTGGGTGCTGGGGGCGCTGGTCCAAGCAGGGGCCACGCCCTGGCCACACTCAGATGTCCACAGTTACAAACCTTGAATGATTTGGTGCTTAGTAAAGAATGACTGGGCTAAACTGGTGAGTAGATCTTTGCAAGCGTGTACACATGAGCAGAGTACGTGCCACACAGATGTCCATATGTGTGTGTGGATAGATGTTTTCCTACGTGTGCAACCGCTCAATCAGATCACCATTTACAAAGAATCAGAGGGACAGAGAGGTTAACTCGCCTGTCGGGTGTCACTACAGCTATCTAAATAGCAGGGCCATAATTCGATTTGGGTCCGGCTGTCTTTATGTTTCTCTACGTGTTCGTGGGGAACTTTAGGTTTAACCTTTCCTTGTCAAACTCTGGAGTCTAGTGAGCTCCGGGCTGTGCTGGGCGGGGCAGGACGGCTGTGTTCTGACTCTGCTGAGTGGCAGGGGTGGACCAGGGGTGGACCAGGCCTGGGTGGCAGCCTGGGGGGGGGCGGTGTCTTCAGCAGAGGGGGCTCTGGGGAGAAGAAGGCCATACCTCGGAAGCAGAAGGCGTGGTGTCGTGACAGCGGGTCGGGCAGGCCGGTCTGGTTGGGGTAGAGGTAGACGGTCCTCACGCCTGGCTTGTCCCCGCCACAGGCGGGCCTCGGGGTCACGATGGGGTAGCGCAGGCTGCCATCTGCCAGCCAGCCGGCATAGCACTTGTCCAGGCCGCGGCTCCAGGCAGCGTACAGCTGCCCGGTGGAGGCCAGGGTGGCGTTCTGGGACTCGCAGAAGGCCACGGCTTCCTGGAAGGTGAACTGCTCCAGACGAGTGACAAAGAACACCTCCCCTGGGGACAGAGGCAGCCCTGTGACCCTCCAACACCTAACCTCGCCCGGTGCAACCATGGCCCCGCCCCTTCCAGGCCCCGCCCACTTCCACCTCTGCTCCTATAGGCCATCTCCACTCAACCACGCCCACCAGGCCATGCCCCCACAGGACCACGCCCTCACAGGCCACACCCACAGCCACCTCTGCTCCTATAGGACATCTCAGCTCAACCACGCCCACCAGGCCATGCCCCCACAGGACCACGCCCCCACAGGCCAGCCCACTACAACTTCTATAGGTCCTCATCTCCATTCAACCACGCCCCCATGTCATGCCCCACCAAAGGCCACACCCCCACAGGCCACACCCACTCCAACGTCTGCTCCTATAGGTCCCCATCGCCAACCATGCCCTCTAACCACGCCCCACGCCCCAGCCCTAAGATTTCTTGGGACCCTGTGAAATAGGTTGGCCCAAAGGCCTTGGTTTGACTGGGCTGGGCTCTAGACTTTTCCGAGACTCAGGACAACCCTTCATTAAAAAAAAATAAAAAGGCAGTGTCACCAGCCAGCTGGGCAGAGGTGGCCATGTCCTTTCTGTCCCTCCCCTTCTTCCTGCATTCTCCAGTCATACCTAAGCCTTCCCAGGCGGCTTGCCTGGATGCCCCCTGACCCCCTTTCCCAGGTAGACAGCCCATATCCTGGCTGCTGCAGACCTGTCCCAGGTCCCCCGTGGGCTCACGCAGGGCAGAGCCAGGGCCTCTGGAAGTTAGGAAGAGGGAGGCTCACATTTCACTTCTACCCAAGACCTATTTGCACTGTCAGGTCCCATAGGTCCCATTGGTCTCATCTGCAGCTCAGTGAGGACTCAGAGAAGCCTTTGGTGTGGGTGGGAAGCAGATAAAGGTCTGTGGCTGGGGAAGAGCCAGATTAGACAGCTAAGGAGGGTCTGTCTCCCTGCAGGACTTCTCAGGGCCTTTGCTCTCCTCCGAAGCCCTGGGACAGCAGGAAGCTGATGTTTTACACCAAACGGATGGACTGACCCACCGAACTCGCTGCTTGTCGAAGGAGCCGGTGTCCCCTGCTCTGTTGGGGATCCCACAGGGCAGAGGGGCTTGAGCTGAGGCCCCTCTGAGGCCCCGGCCCGTGCAGGGACCAGCCCGGGAGAAGGGGGTCCGTACCTTGAAGCTCCGCCACGTAGCAGTACACGTCGTAGGTTTCCGATGACGGCCGCACGCCGTAGGTCCTGACCCCGGGGCTGCTGTCCTTGTCGCCCACACATGGGGTCCGGGGGCTGACAATGGGGTACCTGCAGCAGCGGAGGGGGGAACAGAGGCGGGGGGGGAGGTGTGAGAGGGCCGTGGAGGAGGGGGCTGGGATCCCTGGGAGCTGCCATGTTTATGATCATAAATGATGGACGGCGGGGTGGGATTCGAACCGGTGATCACCCCATGCAACAACTATCTGAGATGGGAAATGGGGAGGGGGGGAGCCCCTGGCGTTGGCAGGGAGCCTGCCCCTCAGGGTGGAGAGAAGCAGGGGGCTTGGGTGGGGGGTCTCCGGAGCACCACACAGCCCCAGCAGCACCCGGTGTGTCTCAGGAAAGAGGTCCGGGCTCACCTGACCGTCTGGTCCCGCAGCCAGCCGGCGTCACACTGCTCGTAGCCCGCCTCATAGGCCGCCTGCAGCTGCTCGGGCGAGGCCATGACGGCCCCCGTGCGCAGGCAGGCCTGCCCAGCCTCCTCGAAGGTCAGCGAGTAGCGCGTGGACCCCGGGCGGTAGTGGAACACCACCCCTGAGTGGGGAGCAGAGGGACATGGAGTGAGGTTGGCCCCGCCATGCCCTGGGGCGGGGCTACGCCAATGCCCCCCCCCCCGCCACGGGACAAATAGGATTCATCCTGGCAGGTGGGCACCGCTCAGCAAGGGCGTGTGTCCCAAAGCCCCCCTCCCCGCCTGGAGGCCACGCCAGAATGTTCTTCCTGGCACAGGCTCATGTTCGAGGAGCAGCTAGACTCTGTGGTATGTGATACCCCAACTTTCCAGACATTACTGAATGAACAGAACACAGCCATAGGGCAGGAAGAACTTTCTAGAAAGGGTCTATACCAAGCTTTATGATTTTTTGTTTTTGCTTTGTTTGTTTTTTGGTCAGTCGTGGGGCTTGAACTCTGGGCCTGGGCACTGTCCCTCAGCTCTTCAGCTCAAGGCGAGCGCTCTACCACTTGAGCCACAGCGCCACTTCTGGTTTTCTCTGAGTGGTTTATTGGAGATAAGAGTCTCACGGACTTTCCTGCCCAGGCTGGCTTTGAACCGTGATCCTCAGGTCTCAGCCTTCTGAGTAGCTAGGATGACAGGTGTGAGCCACTGGCGCCCGGCTGTATTTGGTTGTTGTTGTTGTTTGTTCTTTAACTTTTTAAGACAAGGTATTGCTAGGTAGCCCAGCCTGTGCTGGGATTCAAAGTCCTCTCGCTTTAGCCTCCTAAGTGCCGGGATTACAGGTGTGCACTGCTCTGCCTGGAATCCAGTCAGGCTCTGTGAGCCGTTGGAGTCCTGCCCCCTCTGCCTGGCTTAGCTCCCGTTGGCCTAAGTTAGCTGCAAACAAGTCAAGGGGTTTGGCTCTGCATTTGTAGACACTGAAATCTGACGTTCGTATCATCTTCCCTGTCACAAAGTATCGTTCTTCTTCTGACTCTGTGCCCCACCGGCCGCCCCACCTGCCCCGGTGTCCGCCCCGCGTGGCACTCACCCCCCGATGAGCCAGGCTGTCCTGGAAGCCCGGCTGCGCCTGGCCCGACGGTCACCTGTACCACGGGGTCCTGGCTGGTGAAGGCCGTGGCGGGGCCCAGCCCGGGCGTGGATTCTTCTGGAAGGTCCCAGGGCCTGGTGGCCTCAGGGGCGACTGGGAAGGGGGCGTCGGGCTCCGGGGTGGTGGGGGAGAGGTGGAAGAGGGGCTTGGCGGTGAGGATCACGTTGCCCCGGGCCTCCCCCTCCGTGGCGTTCCCGGGCAGCGGCAGCTCCAGGTCCGGCCAGGTCACCGTCTGTACGGTGATGTCCTCCTCGCCGCCCAGTCCGAAGAAGTTTTCGGGGATGTCCAGGAAGTCTTCACCTGGGGCAGGGGGCGGGGCCGAGCCTTAGCCTGGCAGCTTGGGATTGGCTGGAGCAGGAGGTTCCCAGCTCCAGCGAAAACGCCCAAAAGCCTCAAGTGGGGCTGTGGCTCAAGGGGTGGAGCGCCGGCCTCGGGTGAAAAAGCTCAGGGACAGCGAGCGCCAGGGCCCTGAGTTCGAGCCCCAGTACTGGAACAACAACAACAACGACGACAAAACCAAGTCTAACTTATCAAAGGAAGGTTCTTGTTCCACCTTTTCTGATTCTTTCAGTAATGCGTTGGCCTTCTTTTATTCATATTATTCATAATTAATCATTATTATTGATTACCTGCCATACCGGGGCTTGAACTCAAGAGTCTGGTACAGAAAGTTCTCTACCACTTATACCCTGTCCCCAGTCCTTGTTTAGCTTTATTATTTATTTTTGTGGGTTGTGGGGCCTGAACTCTGGGCCTGGGCGCTGTCCCTCAGCTCTTCAGCTCAAGGCAAGCGCTCTACCACTTGAGCCACAGCACCACTTCCAGTTTTCTGAGTGGTTCATTGGAGATAAGAGTCTCATGGACTTTCCTTCCCCGGGCTGGCTTTGAACTGTGATCCTCAGATCTCAACCTCCTGAGTAGCTAGGGTGACAGTCGAGAGTCACTAGTCGCTGGCGCTGTATTATTTTTTTACATGGGGTCTTGCTTTTGTCTACAGCTGGTCCTTGACTTCCACCCTCCTCCCTTTGCTTCCTACGTAGCTGGGGCCACAGATGTGTGGCACCACACATTGTTAAGATGGAATCTTTCTTTTCTTAAACCCAGACTGGCTTTGAACTGGGATTCTCCTGAGGACCTGGGATTACAGGTGTGCACTACCCTGCCCGGTCCTCCTTTCAACACATTCTATTAAAAACAGCAGGTATCAGCAGCCTCCCGTGGGTGAGGGCATGCGAGGGCCGGGGCTCCAGCTTTCCCGGGGTGGCGGGGATGTGGGGACGGTCAGCGATCCACACTGAGGACCCGCAGGATCCACACTGAGGCTGCGAATCCCCGCCCCCCCTCACCTGTGTAGCAGATGGCATCGTAGCGGGACGAGGGGTCGGGGTAGCCGGTCTGGTTGGCGTGCAGGTAGACGGTCCTCACGCCCAGCAGGTTGCCCCCGCAGTTGGGCCGGGCTTTGGAGATGGGGTAGCGCACGCTGCGGTCCGCCAGCCAGCCCGCGCTGCACATGTCCATGCCGCCCTGCCAGGCCAGGTAAAGCTGGCCGGTGGTGGCCAGCCGGGCGCCCAGCCGGCGACACTCGCTGGCCGCTTCCTGGAAGGTGAACTTCTCTGGGGACGTGGCGTAGAAGACCTCGCCTGGGGATGACACGGCCGGTGGGTGCGGGTGTCCTCTCCCCCACCCCCGTCCTGCTCCGGCCAGGCCCCCTGGTTGAGCCCAGGTCCTGATCCACATACCCCAATCTCAGGGCTCACCACTCACTTCCTGCTTTCTGGGTTTGGAGCAGGAAGACATCAACTATTTGTGTGTGTGTGTGCACGCACGCGCTGTGTGTGCCCATGTGCCCGGTCCTGGGGCTTGAACTGAGGGCCTGGGCGCTGTTACTGAGCTTCTTTTGCTCAAGGCGAGCGCTCTACCACTTGAGCCACAGCCCCATTTCTAGTTTTCTGAGTGGTTCATTGGAGATAAGAGTTTCACAGGCTTTCCTGCCCGGGCTGTTTTGAGCTGTGATCCTCAGATCGCAGCCTCCTGAGTAGCTAGGATGGCAGGCGTGAGCACTGGACCAAGAGCAGGGAGGAAAATCTCCCTGGCTCAGAACCATCCACGCCCAGCCTCTTGCTGTACCCAGTCCCACCAGGAGGGGGCGGTCTTGTGATCAGAGCAGATCTCCCACTAGGGATGGAACCCCGGCCTCCTCCGGCATGCTAAGCAAGCGCTCTACTATTTGAGTGACTCCCTCAGCCCTTCTGCTTTTCTTCTGTTTTCCAGACAGGGTCTCCCCCATCACCTGCATCCACGTCTAGCCTTGAACTCACGATCCTCCTGCGTCAGCCTCCCAGGTAGCTGGGATTACAGGCATGCACCACCACACCCGGCTAAAGCAGAGGCGGGCTGGGGGTGGGAGGCCTCACCCTCCATCTCCTCCGCAAAGCAGTACACGTCGTAGGTCTCGTTGGTGTCTCGGATGCCGTAGGTCCTCACGCCGGGGAATTCATCCTTGTCTCCATAGCAGCCTTCCCGGGGCGTGTGGATGGGGTACCTGCCAGGAACCCACAGTGGGGTGTGACCCGGGGATGTGGGGGGCTGCTCGGAGTCTGGCACCCAGCTTTCTGTGTTCATAGTCATTCATGAGGACTGAGCATCAGCACTGAAGGCGGTCCTCAGGACTGAGCATCAGTACCACATTGGGTCTACTGGGACCAGATAGTAACTACGTGATCATGGGCCACTAGGGCCTAGAAATGACCACTCTATGGAATGAAGCGGACCCAGTGTGCAAACCAAGGTGGCGCTGTGCTAATAAAACTTTATTCAAAGAAACAAAGGATGACCGCATGAGGCAGATGCTGTACCCTGTGTGTGTGTGTGTGTGTGTGCGTGTGTGTGTGTGCGTGCATGTGTGCTTGCGTGTGCCAGCATGCTAAGATTCCGTCTCGGCTCTGTTTGGCTGTGTGTGCGCGTATGGCTGGTTTGTGGGTGGACGCTCTCCTGCGGGAGGCCCGGGGCGGTCCCCGCTCTCCTCCCCGCGCCCGCACCCAGGCCGGCTCACCTGACGGTCTGGTCGGCCAGCCAGCCGGCGTCGCACTGGTGGAAGCCATCCTCGTAGGCGGCCTGCAGCTGCTCGGCCGTGGCGATCACCGCGCTGTTCTGCAGGCAGGCCCGCTGCGCCCGGTCGAAGTCCAGCGTGTAGCGCGTGGAGATGGCGCGGTAGTGGAACACGATGCCTGCGGGGAAGCCCCGTCAGGCACCCGCTCGGCCTGCCCCCGAGGAGGCCGGGGGCCTCAGGCACTGCCGGGGCTGGGGTCCCCCTGGTGGTGAGAGGGGGAGGCTCACAGCCCACCGGGTGTTCCTATTTGGGGTAAAATGGATCACAGGACGCCGGAGCCTGCCGGGCACCCGGAAGCACCCGTTGCAGGCCCAGCTCTGGGTGACCGGGCTGGGGCTGGGCCCGGTGTGCATGCCCCTCTCCCCTGCGCCCCTCACCTTTGACCACCACCTCCAGGGTGGCCTCGCTGTCCGCGATGCCGTGCGTCACCTCGCAGCGGTAGACGCCCGAGTCGTTGGAGCGCAGGCTCTGGAGCTCCAGGGTGGCGTCGCTGGGGATGGCGGGGTAGTTGGGCAGCGAGACCTTGTTGCGGTAGGCGCTGTGGACGCGCACGCGGCCCTCGGTGGCCACCAGCAGCACCACCTCCTCCTCCTTCGACACGCGGCTCCACTTGATCCTCGGGGCGAGCGCAGCGGTGAACGGGGCGGTGGTCACGGGGTGCGCGGGCTCCATGAAGTAGCAGGGGATGGTGAGGGCGGAGCCCAGGAGGACCCGCAGGGGGGAAGGCTGCGGGATGCTCACGCTCAGCGCGTTGTCATGGTCTGCGAGGGGGGAGGGCACACCGCCGTCAGGGACCCCCCTAGAGAGGCCCACCCCGCTTCCCCGGGGAGTCTTCTAGAAGTGGTGCTCCCCGGGGAGCCCGGTCCACGATGGGCTGTGTGGTACGGGAATGCCCGGGCAGCCATGTCCTCCACCACCCCGCTGCGGGTGGTGATGCACGCCTGTAATCCCAGCTCATCTGGGAAGCACAGGTCTCCGGTAAGGGGGATCACAGTGCAAAATCAGCCTCGCCGAGAGCAAAGAAAAAATATGGCGCCGGGCAATCAAGACACGAGATCCAGTCTGAAAAATGAACCAGCAAGTAAAAGCCCCGAGTTTAAACCCCTGAAGACAGAGAGAGAGACAGACAGACAGAGGCAGAGAGTGAGAGAGAAGAGAAAGAAGGGGGGGGGGAAACAGAGGACAACCTAGGCAGAAAAGTCCTACTGGAGACTCATCTCCAGTGAACCCCCAGAAATGGAGCTGTGGTTCGCGTGGTAGGGCGCTCGCCTTGAGCTGAACAGCACAGGGACAGCACCCAGGCCCTGAGTTCAAGCTCCATGGCTGACAAAACAAACAAAAGAAAGAAAGAGCAGGTGTTGGTTGCTCACGCCTGTCACCCTAGCTACTCAGGAGGCTGAGATCTGAGGATCACAGTTCAAAGCCAGCCCAGGCAGAAAAAGTCTGTGAGACTCTTATCTCAGTAAACCACCAGAATACTGGAAATGGTGCTATGGCTCAAGTGGTAGAGCGCTCGCCTTGAGCTGAAGAGCTGAAGGACAGCGCCCAGGCCCAGAGTTCAGGCCCCACCACTGACAAAAAAAAAAAAAAAAAAGAGAGAAAAGAAAAGAAAGAAAGAAAGTAAAGAAAATACGTTCAACACCAGCCGCGCGTCACTCTCTCTGGGTATTTCCATCTTCCCTTGGTCCCTCCCTGGGTCAGCATGTGGCAGGGGTTCTGAGTGAGGCCTGGGACCTGTGTGTGCACGTGGGTGTATGCATGTGTGCATCGCAGGACCACGTGTGCAGGACCATGAAAAGGCCAGGAAAGGGAGTGTGTGTAACTGTGTCTCTGTATGAAGCAGCACTAGGTTCAGTACCCAGAACTGAGAACCCAGCACTCAGGGCCTACGCAGTGTTTTCCTTACCTGGCATTTCCTCTGCTCTGGCTGCTGCGAGGACCCGCAGAGTCACGAAAACCAAGAGTAGCGTGGTCATGGTTCACCTGCAAGAGCAGCGGCGGCATTAGCTGTGTGCTGAGCTGCAGGGAGGTGACCTCTGACCCCTGACCCCGGACCCCCGGTGCACCCTGACCGACTTCCCCATGTGACGTGTGACCGTGCCTACGGTGGGGGGGGTGGCTGCAGGGTCCCACCCGGCCCCCGGCCCTCCCCAGACCTGTCCCCCTCTAGGTCCTCGGGTCTCCTTAAACCCCGTGGAGCAGACCGTGCTTTCCCCAGGGGTGTCGGCCTCCGCGGGACAGGAGGGAAGGAATCCCTCCTCCCGGGAGCACTCTGCAGCCGGGACCTGCTGGGCTGTGGCCCGTCCACATAACCCGGGTGGGGGGGCGCCCGTACTGGCTGGGGGGCGGCTGGGATCACTGGTGTGAGGAGGGAGGAGACCATGCTGCCTACTGACCTTGCTCTGTCCCCGACCCGTGGTCCACCAGGTGGCGCTGTTGGCCCGGTCACCATTGCTGGGGGGACTGGCTAACTTGGGGGGACTGGTGTCTCCCTCTGGTGGGGAGCAGGCTGGGACGGGGGGGGGGGCCTCAGGAGCCCCTCTCCTGCCTCTACCCCACTCGAGTCCCACGCGTCCGTGTTGGGCGTGGGGGGCGTCCCATGCCAGTCTGGAAAATTCCCAAGTTCCCAGAAGGAGCCCTGGCTCTCTCCCAGGGCTGAGTTCCTGGTGAGAAGCTCAAACACGTCCGGGGCTGGCTCCCGAGGGTGAGCGCGAGGGGCTGCGGGGTGGAGGGCCGGGGCCCGGGGCTGGGAGAGCAGAGGGGGCCCCTGTGGGGGACCCGGGGGGGGCGGGCGGGAGATGGAGGCGCCCCTCGGGGCCGGGCCAGGCCTCCCTACATTCCCCCTTGGAACCTCGGGGCCCGAGGCAGACACAGGGCGCTGTTCATCCTAGACCGCCCTTCGCTGGGAAGTTGTGCACACACGTGTGTATGTGTGCACGCACGTGTGGAGTTGTGTTTCTTCTCTCCTGCTTCGAACAAGCTGGACATTGTGTGTGGGGATGCAGTGCGGTTCTGTTTTTTTTTTCTTTCCCTTCTCCTTGGCCTAGACCAGGAAATGGGAGGGCAGCAGGGGGGGGGCTGGGGTCCTGGGCAGCAGGGGGGGCTGGGGTCCTGGGCAGCAGGGGGGGCTGGGGTCCTGGGCAGCAGGGGGGGCTGGGGTCCTGGGCAGCAGGGGGGGCTGGGGTCCTGGGCAGCAGGGGGGCTGGGGTCCTGGGACGGGGGGGGCGTTGGTAAGAGCGGGCAGAGAAGCGGCATTTTATGTCTTCTTTCTGGAAGACCAACTTATGATGGCCAGGCGGCCATAAATATGTTCTTGTGTGTGTGTGTGTGTGTGTGTGTGTATGTGTGTGTGTGTTTTCTCAGCTGTAAAGAAAATAGGGAGAAATTCCATTCTGTCTGGGCTCCCAGCGTCTTGGGGACTCACTGCGGCTTTTATTCGTGGGGAGACTAACTGCCGGTCCCAGACTGGGCGGACAGACAGGGCGTCTTTCTCCCCGGCCAGCAAAGCAAAGCGAGGTGGAGGCGGGCAGGGTGGGGCTGGGGAGCGCAGGGGTGCGGGGGGTGGGTGGGAGGGGGGAGCAGCTGTCATCTTAGCGGCGACCAATGAGGAGGCTGGGTGTGTTCCTGTGTGAGTGCGCGTGCTCGCGGTGTGTGCACACGTGTGTGCCTGCGTGCGCTCGGCCTTGAGGGAGACCTGCAGGCCCTCAGCCTCAACCTGGGGCTGGGAGGGGAGGCTTTGGGCTCTGGGGGTGAGGGTTGGACTTGAAGAGGACTTTCCAGAACATTCCTTTCACAAACAGCACCGCTCCCCCCCCCCTGCACGACGGAGTCACCAGGACATCGGGAGGAAAGGGATGCCGCCATGCTCTGTGGGACCCGGGCGCCACGAGCGTTCAGTTCGCTTTCCTTCTCGTCTTTTCCGTGGGCATCTGCTCGGCTACTGCTTTAGTTCCTGTGATTCCCCTTCTCCCTCCCCCAGTCGTGGAGCTTGAATGTGGCCTGGGCTCTGTCCCGGAGCTTCTTTTGCTCAACTAGCACTCTACCACTTGAGCCACAGCACCACTTCTGGCTTTGTCTGTGTATGTGGCATACAGGCTTCAGGCCTGCTAGGCGAGCACTCTGCCACTGAGCCACCTTCCCAGCCCCTGCTTTCCATGTCTTTGCACCCCTTTGCTTTGCCGTGGGACGCAGTGGGTGAACGGACGGAGCCGTGGAAGGTTGGAGAAACCCCGGCGCACACCCGTTTCAGTGCTTGAGTTTCACAGGAGGAACCGGAGGCCAAGGACCACACAGATGGTGGAGGCGGAGCTAGAACCAGGCCTGGGGGCCGGCCCCCCACAATTCCCAGCGCCCGGGGGCTTGGTTAGGCGGTGCTGTGTCTGTGTCTTTGCTAGCACCCTCTGGGGTTCCTGAACGAATCAACAGCGGAGTGTCTTACCCTGCCGAGGGTTGGTGGTATAGCTCACGCCTGTAATCCCAGCTGCTCAGAAGGCTGAGGTCTGAGGATCCCTATTCAAAGGCAGCTCAGGGAAGCTCCTGAGCCTCTGATCTCCAACTGACCACCAAAAAGCCAGAAGTAGAGGTGTGGTTCGAGGGGGTAGAGCACCAGCTCAGGGGCAGTGGCCAGGCCCTTCAGTCCCCCCTCCTGGGGGAGGGGGGGAGCAGTCCGTATGGCATGTGACATAGAATCTCACACTATTCTCTGAGGAACAGCCCTTCCACCCCTGGGCTCCAGGGAAGCCGCGCCGTGGGGCGCACCCATGAGGTGCATTTTGGGGTACAGGGAGAATCTGTACCCTGGCATGGCATTATGACTGCGTTTTCCTTCTTCTGAGTGTGGCTTTCCTGGGAGTGTGTGTGTGTGTGTGTGTGTGTGTGTAAGAGCCGGGGGCAGAGCACGGCGTCTCTAGCCGTGGAGTGACGGCTGCTCTGTTCGGGTCACTGTTCTGTGTCCCCGGGGCCGAGGCTCTGAAGCCCGAGGCCGCAGGCCTGCCCGAGCCCCCCACGCTGTGTGAACTGTGATCCTCAGATCTCAGCCTCCTGAGTAGCCAGGGTGCACCAGCGCCCCGCAGACACAGCACCGGGGACCAAACAGCGCCAAGGACTGGGGTGTTAGACCCCTGGGGTGGGTGTGAGGGTGGGTGTGACTGCAGCTGTGGCGGTCCTGAGGGTGGACACGTGGATGAAGGGGGCCCAGCCCTCCTCCTCCGGTAGGAGGCGCCTGCTTCCCAATCACTGACCAGATGCTCCCGTCTCTACCAGCGAGGACCCGCCCCTTCCCGCCTCGCCCTGCCCCCGCCCTGCACCTTGGCGGTTGTTTCCCCTGCATTAATTTCAGACTCTCTGTCAACACCAGGCCTGATGGACAGAGGGTTCTGGAAGGGAATGTCCCCCAGCCTGAGCTTCCCGACAGGCCAAGCGCCATGCCCCGGGGCGCCAGGACCCTGGGCCAAGCCGGCCTGGCTCACAGAGGGGTCGGGGTCGGGGGCCAGGAGACAGCGGCCAGGCCTGAGCTCCAAGCCAGCTGCCCGCCTGGCCTCAGCCCTGCCCAGGGCTCGCCCTCCCTCCTTCCTTCCTCCCCTCCCTGCTTCCTTCTCCCTCCCCTTCCCCTCCCTTCCCCCCTCCCCCTCCCTCCCTCCCTTCTTTCCCTTCCTCCCTTTTCTTTCCTCCTTCCTTTCCTTCATTCTTTTATTCTTTCCCTCCCTCCTTCCTTCCTTCCTTCCTTCCTTCCTTCCTTCCTCCCTCCTCCCTCCTCTCTCCCCTTCCAGTTGAGGGCGGGGGGGGGGCGAGGAGGGGCTGGAGGCATTTCTCCCCGGGGGCCTTCACGTGGGAGGCCGCTGGGGCGAAGGGGAGAGGCGGCCACGGCACAGGGGGATGGGCCCGCCTGTCCTGTCCACCCCTGCCGGCCCCACGGCCCCCCTCCCGCTGCAGCCAGCGCCCCTCCACCCTCCGTCTCTCAGCCGGCCCACAGATCACACATGGCATCTGGGAAGCGTGGTGGAAGTTTCTGGCGCGTGAGCGCCCTGCGTCCCTCCCCCACTGCGGGGACCCCCTCCCCAGCGCTGTGTGACTGGTTGTAGATGAGACTCGGCCTCTCCTGTGTCCCCACGTGACCTGTTTTGAGGTGACACTGCCCAGCCTCAAGACCAGCAGACGCCCCCACGGCCGGTGGGAGGGGGCGGGGGGGGAGCCCAGGGACAGCTCTGTCTTCTCGCCCCAGAGGACCGTGGGGGCAGAGGAAGGCTTTCAAGCCGAGGGCACCCACAGAACTTCCTCCGGGCTCACACCAGGGGTTCAAAGGTGGGCAGCTTCCTGTCTGTGGCCGGGACGCCCAGCCCAACCCTCCGGAAGATTCAGACACCGCATCTTCCAGAGCTCCTTAGGTGATTCGAACTCTGAACTCAGTGACCGTGGCCAGCAGGCCAGGGACAGAGCCACTGCTTGACCCTGGGTGGGTCCCCCCTCCCCCAGCCATCTGTCCACCCCCCCCACACACACAGCACAACTGCTATACCCACAGTGACCTCCAGAGGACGCTGCAGTCCAGGACTGTGCCTAGACCAGCACCCAGGGAACACCTAGAATCGCTTCCTGAAGCCAAGGAGAGAAGACTGGCCTCAGGGGCTTTCCTTGTCAAAAGTGGAAAAGAATGTGAAATACACTGGTCCACCCATCATCCATCCACCCCCCACCATCCATCCACCCACCATCCATCCATCTATCCATCCATCCATCACCCATTCATCCATCATCCATCCACCCATCCATCCATCATCCATTCATCCATCATCCATCTACCCATCCATCCATCAGGCATTCATTCACCCACCATCCATCCATCTATCTATCCACCCATCCATCCATCATCTATTCATCCATCCATCCACCCTTCCACCCACCTATCCACCCATCCATCATCCATCAATCCATCCATCCATCCATCCATCAATCCACCCACCCATCCACCCACCCATCC